TGAGCTCACCATTATTTGTTCCATATCAGCACCACAGATTCAAGACCGGGACCAGAAGCCCGGTGAATGGACCCTTCAGGACACTGCCAGAAGAGGGCGCTGTCCTCCTTTTGGTGAAAGCTGGTACCTACGCTTCGCCCGCCACACGCAGCTTCTCCAGCTACCAGGCCCTCTAGGCCAGCCACAGGGACTTTGACTTGCCCTGCTGAGCAGTTCTATTAGGCCCGAAAGCTAGAGCTGAGCCTTTTGCTTCTTTCAGAAAGAAACTCTGACCAGCCAGGCAGCGAAAGGGTAGCTGTCTTTTCTTTGCCCCTGGGCCTTTATTAGAAAGTTGCTGGCCAATGAAAAGTGGGAGAGGGCAGCCAGGGGGAGGGGCGTGGGGGGATTTAAACGCACACCGATTAAATCATATCCTCCTAATATGAATTTAATCAGTGCATTTTTTGATCTGGAACATCAGTATCAAGAAAGAGCCTTGCGTAGTCTCCCAGGGTGGGAAAGAGGGTCGCATGGGTCCCTATTGGGGTTTCTGCCCCCACCTCCTTTAGCCGCCGGCGCCCCTGCCCCATCCTCCTTCCTGGCTGCCTACTGCGGTGCTCTTGGGCTTTTGGGAAGCGCAGGCTCCGGCTGGCATTGTTGCTAGGCAACAGGCAGCCCGGCGGCCGCCTTCCCTGCTCTCTTATTCCGCCCCCGCTGCTCCTCCTAATATGGATTTAATCAGCGTACGTTTTACCTTCAGGCAGTAAATTGGAAACGGAACAGGGAAGCCATGTTCTGCGGTGCCCCAAACCGGCGCGCAGTCTGTCTTGTATATCCTGCTCGGCACAGAACGTACCCCTGCGAGCGGCTGGTGCAAACCTCAGGGCTCCTCATTGGAACAAATTGCCGTGCTGTGCATTCACATGTAAACCAGAAGCTTAGGAAATTTAGGCCAAACGTGGTTGAGGGCTGCAGAGAGAAAGAGGTGAAAGGGTCATTTGGGGGTGGAGGAAGGCGGGAGGCAGCAATTGCTGAGGACCCCTTAGTGTTACTCTCAGCCTAGCTACAGCGTAAAAGGTCGCGATGGACTTTTACCTGTGGTATTTGATGTTTAAATCAGCACTCACTTCCCACGAGGATAATTTTTTTTTTTCCATTGAGGAGAGATCTGGATCTCGCTGTCTTTGCTTTCTTTTCTTTTCCCTTGCAGGCACACCTGAGGCACCCCTGCCACAGGTTGAAGTCCGGAGGTGTGGCAGTTCCAAACAGGTGAGGCTGGTTCAAGGCAAAAGGCTATCTGGAGACCAAAAGAGAATCTAAGTATAGGACGAGCGCCTATAAATACGGGGTGGCTAACGCCTGCAATCCCTGCATTTTGGGAGGCCAAGAAGGACGAATTGCCTGAGCTCAAGAGTTTCAGACCAGTCTGGCCAACATGGCGAAACCCCCTCCTCTAACAAAAGATTAGCTGGGCCTGGTGGTGCACACCTGTAATCCCAGCTACTGGCAAAGCTGAGGCACGAGAATCTCTTGAACCAGGGAGGCGGAGGTTGCAGTGAGCCGAGATTGCCCCACCGCTCTCCAGCCCAGGTGGCTGAACGGCAGTGGTCTAGGTCTGGAAGGTGGGAGTAGGGATGTTAGAGAAATGGGAGTTTAGAAAGACATTGTTATTTCTATTTTAACTAAAGTGACATCATGTACAGAATATGGGATAATTTCACTCTTGTGGGAATACATTTTTCCTAGTAAATGGTTACTTATGTATACAAATACTAACATGTTAAAAGAATGGTGATCATGGCAGGGCATGGTGGCTCACGCCTGTAAGCACTTTGGGAGGCTGAAGGGGGTGGGTCACCTGAGGTCAGGAGTTTGAGACCAGCCTGGCCAACATGGTGAAACCCCATCTCTACTAAAAGTACAAAAAAATTAGCCGGGCATGGTGGCACGTGCCTGTAATCTCAGCTATTCAGGAGGCTGAGCCAGGAGAATCGCTTGAACCTGGAGGCAGAGGTTGCAGTGAACTGAGATTGTGCCACTGCACTCCAGCCTGGGTGACAGAGCGAGACTCCATTTTAAAAAATTAAAAAACAAACAAAAGCAGAATGGTGATCATGTAAAGAAAATCCACAAATCAGAGCTATCTGGTTTTGGGATGCAGCTGTATACTCCCTGGAACCAACTCGGCACCCCACATTGGTGTTGCAGTTCATAAAGAGCTCTATTCACTCATTCCATGTGCTCTTCCTTCCCTCACGGCTTGTGAAATAGGTATAGGAAGTCTTTTGTCCCATGGAGAGGGAAGATGGAGCATGGGGAGTTGGGTGACTCGCCCAAGGTCACTCAATGAGTAAAGGGCTGAGATGAGTCCAGCCTGCTTTCTGCAGTAGGATAGCAGACAGTGTTATGAAAAAGAGCACCAGGAGGCTATCCCAGCTCTGCCATTTACTAGCTGTGAGGCCTGGACAAGTTACTTATGACTTCTCTAGGCTTCAGTTTCTTAACTTTAAAATCAAGATACACATAGTGCATACCTTATAAACTTGTGGTTAATACCTGCAAAGGGTTTAGAACTGTGCCTGTTACTTAATCAGCACAGGTTATACAGTATATGCATTACCCTGGATCTCCTTTAGGTAAGTGAGACATGCTTAAGAATAACTTCCAACCTCCATTAAAGGCCATGTAAAACTTTACTTAAAAGCTTGCTATGGATATGACTCTACCCGTCTACATCAACAGTTAACTTCTCCCTCGCTAAAAGGAGTAATTTCATCCCTGTGACCATTCTCATCAGCTAAATTGCCTTCACGATTATTTTCTGTTAGTGTTGAAAATACCCTTCTAAAGGTGTGCCTCCCGCTAGGTGATACATGATTCTTAAAAACTTTCCATATGCATATTAAACTATATTTTCCTATTGGCTTACCTTATAGTTGTAGAAAGCTTTGGCCTGCAAGGAAAAACAGTGTTTTCTAACACCTGAGCTTTAGTTTTTGATCCTAAACTCTTGCTAAATGTTTTACTTCACTTGGAAGGCTTACAGTACACTCTTCTGAAACATAAAAGCTTCTTCTTTCATTTCAAATGACTCTCCTCTGATTTAAGTGTGTAATAAACATTAGTTATTACTACTTTGCTATTTAAATGCTATCTTTCTCAAGGGAGGTCATACCTGTGTCTGTGACCTTTGTCTGAGGCCTGTCTCAGTCAGGTGTTTCTTTTACCGTGGAAAATCTCTAACATTTTATTCTGTTTTCTAGACTGTCAGCTACTCAGATTGCTATAATTGTGCCTCCCACAATTTTTCTGCAGAGGCAGTAGATTTAATTTGCATTTTAAAATAATTTATGCAGAGTTCCGGGCAAGGAAGGTAGGAAGGTCACATCAAGGCCCACATTTATCTATAGTTCTGTTACATATCCATGTGCAATTGACTCCTTTACTTTGCAGAGCAATCCAACTTCTTTCAATAGCAATGCTGGAAAGAGGCAGAAGAACTGAGGAAAAAGGAAGAAATTAGATAAAAAGAAAAGAAAAATACAATAGCAAAACCTGTAGAATTTTTAAGGGAAGTACATCACCACTCAAGCAGAAACAAAATGGAGGACTGTTTATTTCATTGCTCAATCAAAACATTCCATGAAAGACTGCCTTAAGTAATTTCAAATGCTTCACTAATCCATATGGGGGTGGGAGGGAAGCTCTACTGCCCTGTGCCACAAAACTATTTGATATAACTAATGACATGCAAACACCATTTGCAAAAGCAGAGCATTATCACAATATGATATTTTAAAAATTGGTTGAGTAAATAGATTTCATATCTTTAAAAAGAGAAAAAAATTACACTGTGTTGAGCATGGGAAATCTGGGCAACATCTACAAACCTTCTCATTTATAGATAGGAACAAAGGCCCAGAGACGTTAAGCCACTCATCCAAATTCACTGAGCAAAGAGAGTCTGTATTTGCTATTTTGGAATAAGTTGTCTCTTTTCAAATGGTTTTTAAAAATGGGTATCACATACTTTTTGTTTGTACAGAACATTCATATAAAATAGTTCCTCTTTAACTGTATCCATTTTTATTTTTATTTTTTATTTTATTTTTTTAAAGACGGGGTTTCACCATGTTGGTCAGGCTGTTCTTGAACTCCTGACCTTAGGTGATCCGCCCCCCTTGGCCTCCAAAGTGCTTGGATTAGAGGCATGAGCCAGCACGCCCGGCCAACTGTATCCATTATTATTTACCCACTTATTTTTCTGTCATAATGCTATGACTTTTTTTCTATGAATATTCACCTATTGCACTGAAAGGCTCTGCTGGATTTGAAAACTACAGATTCAGAAACATGGCACAAACGTGCAATTCACAAACCACAACTTTTAAAAAGAATTAAGTATTCATGCCAAATCAAAATAGCCACTCACCAGCGCCAAATACATGTTTATATTTCATTATAGAGACAACCACAAATTAAAAGTATCTGCCAAAATGTCTCTTTCCTCTCTTTAAGTCATCTTTACTTTCAAGATGTACCTGTTTGCAAATATTTAGCATTCACAGTACAACTGAATTAGTTACATTCATAATGGTCACAATCGTTATTCTGTGTTCAAGACTCTCCAGAATCTTAATTGCCTAAAATGAGGTAGATAAACTTTTAAGTTTGTTGGTTGGGATTAATTTCCTTTAGATCTTGATCATCTATTTTTTAAACAGAATTCCAAAATATTTAGCAAAAAATTGAAAATGTCTGAGCACTTTGCCTAAAAGTGGAAAAATATAATTTCAAAAGGTTATTATGAAAGTTGCTTTACCTCATTTCAATTTAAAAACAGAATAAAAGCATCAAATTACAAAACCACCGCATATCTTAAAGCTGACAACCTAACATCTTCCAACATTTAAAGACACCCTTGCTCTAGTTCTGGCTTGGGATTGTGTAGATGCAGAGGCATCAGTTAACCATTCGGGGCCAGACCAGCTGCTGCCCCTTAACCTTTGACCCTGGATTTCAAGTTCTTTATAGGAGGCTCTCAATGAGTTCTCAAATACCATCTCTGGAGATGTGTCATGCTTCAGAGAGAAGCTGAAGTGTAGCCCCTCTGGGTAAAACAGGCTGCAGTGGGCAAAGCTGGAAACACAACGAGGCTGCAGGCATTGATTGAGCTGCAGTCTTGGGCGGACTTAGACTGCCAGGAGCAGGCCACGATAGATCAACCCAGGTGGTAGCACCAGGGACCTTCAGGTGGTTGGGGGCAAACTGGGCACTAGACCAGCTAAAGGCCCCGGAGTAGGTCGACGAGAGATTTCTGAGAAGGCTGGCAGACCACCGCGGATCTTTGTCTTTTTACGTGGAGCCATGGGTGAGGCGCTCAAGAACTTGCTGAAGGAACTTGACTTCTTCAAGCCTCGGGCCAGGTCCTGGAGCATGAGGTCGTCGGCCAGGACGCCTAGAAATGCACTGGTGGTGGAACTGAGGATGGTGGCGGCCACCTGCACCGGGCGCCTGGCAGCAAGACTGCCACTTCCACCCCCGTTCGCATCTAGCTCCGTGGTGCCTGGCAGGCCTGGATCACCAAGTAGGCGGCGCAGCGCGTACGAAGAGCCGGGCCTCAGGTACTGGTAGGCGCGACGCCCGCTGTGGTCACGCACGTGTACCTGGGCACCCAGACACACCACCAGCAGCACAGCGGCGTCCTCGTGGCCGTGCAGCACAGCCAGGTGCAGCGGCGTGTAGCCGCCGTGGGAGCGCGCGTTCACGTCGACTGGCGCGCCACCGAGCTGCGCAACCTCCACCAACTTCAGCGCCATCTCGCCGTCGCCGCTCTTGGCGGCCCAATGCAGGGCCGTGAAGCCAGACATGAAGTCGCGCTTGGCCGCCAGGCCGCGGTCGCGCAGCAGCAGCCCGTGCAGCTGGTGGGTCCAGCGGCCCCCGGCCGTCCGGACGAGCCACTCGTGCTCGGACGGCTCCAGGGGCACGGCGGCCGGCGGCGGCGCGGCCGGCACCTCCTCGGCGTCGGGGCTCAGCAGACGCGGGCCGGCGCGCGACAAGCGCCTCAGGTGCGGGGAGCGGCCTGAGCCCAGGCCAAGGCCGAGGCCCAGGCCGGACTCCTCCACCGAGAGCCGCCTCAGCAGCAGAGGAGAGCTCCGCGGGCTCGGCTCCTCTGACAGCTGCCGGCGCAGGCCCTGCTCCTCCGCCCGGATGCGGAGCGTGGCGGGGACCGGGACGCAGCGCACGGGCAGCATGCAGGGCTTCTGCGGCGGCGGCCCTTCCACTGTCCCGGGCCCGGGATCCGGGTCTGGTGGATCAGCGCAGGGCGAGACCGCCTCCGACGGAGCCCTAAGCGGTGGGGCCGCGTCTGCGGAGGGTCCCTCGGGGGCCTGGGCTAGCTCGAGGGCTGGAAGCCGGGGGTCGGCGGACCGCTCCCCGGGCGGCTGAGCGGGCTCACAGGCCGGAGCCCCGAGGGTGTCCTGTGTCTCTGCTGGCGGACCCGGGTCCCCTGGTGGCTCCACCGGCTGCGGCGCGGAGACCAACGGCGGAGCTCCCGGGGCAGAGGCGTCCCCCGGTAAGACGACAAGGGGCTCCGACGGCTGGGCCGCTGTCTCGGGGAGGCCAGAGGGCGTGGGCTCGGGCTCCGGGGGCCGCGGCTTCTTCCTCAGCACCACGAACTTGACGCCGTCGAGCTCCTTCACCACCGCCACGTCATTGACGAACTGCTTGAAGCGGTCCCTGCGGGCGGCGCGGCCCCGCGGGTCGCCGGCATCCAGCAGCGGCTTGAAGCGGCTCAGCAGCTCGGAGTTGCGCACCTTCCCGCCGCGCTCCTGCAGGAAGCCCAGCACCGCCGCCTGGCTCACCCCGGCGGCCGCGGCGGCGGCGGCGGCGGCCAGCGCCATGGCGGGGCCCTGGGTTCCTGGCTGCAGGGGCAGGTGGGCGCCGCGTTGCCGCGGGACGCGCGGGAGCGAGGTTCCGGGAGGCGCGGCCGCACTCACCTGGCGCCTTCCCCGCGGCCGGCCGGGCGTGTCCCCGAAGCTGGACCTCGATCTCGCCGGTGCCGCCGGGCCGGGGCGTCTCGGGGCGAAGGGCGCCGGGGGACCTGGGGAGCGCCCACCCCCAGCGCCCCGCCGGGCCCCGGCCTTCGGGGTAGGTTTCTGCCTTTGTGTTCTGTCCAATGGGCGCCGGGCTCCATCCCCCGCTCCGCGCTCGCCTTACAGGTGACAGCTGCCCCCGCGACGCGTAGGGAGCGGGAGCAGAAATTCCCGCAGCCCCCCGCCCGCCCCCGAATTAAAGGCGCAGAGCTCGGGCTCGGCTCATGGTTGCTAGGTGGGTGTGTTCCCTCGGGACGCCGCGCTCCGCCAAAGAGGAATGGATTTTTATTCCTTTAATGAACATTTAACCACTACAAAATACCAAGCGATGATTTCAGGGTAATCCATTTTTTTAAAAAAGACCGTCAATACCTCTCCAGTTTTTTATTGCGTTTTATGCAGGAAAACGACTTCAGGCGATTTACAGCAAAACCAATTCACTGTGCTTGGCAATGCACGTTACTCTAGGTTTAGAGAGACGTTTTCAAAAGCAATTTTCTCGTGGTAAAATAATACATTTTCACGTAGGATTTGGGATATAAAACCACAGGAAACAAACGTAACAGGAAAACATAAAGGAGGAAAACAAGGAAAAATATCACCTGAAATCACCATTAACATTTTGAAATATTCTCTTCCCATCCCCCATATGTATATGTATGTTTATGCTTTAAAATAAGAAAGCAATGAAGAGTCATGCTATGTTTTTAAACCATTTGTTCCACAGATAAGTATTGAGCACGTAGTTTGTGCCAGGACCCTTTCTTTCTTTTAACAACTGGTAATCAATTTATTAAAATAGTTGACTTAAGCATCTGCTTTTTGGCTAAGATACATCAGTTAATAAGACAGATTTAATAACCCATGACCTAGTGGGGCTCATATGTTGGGAGAGAACAGAAACACGGTGAAACTGAAAACTATATGATATACTAAATAAATGCTATGGAAAAAACACATCGGGGTAAAACGGATGAGGGGCAGGTTGCAATTGTGATGGGGCAGTCAAGATAGGACTCATTGTGAAGGTGACATTTAAACAAGGACTTGAAGTAGATCAGGAAGTTATGTAGATGGAGAAGAGGTTTCTAGTTCAGGGAACTGCCTGACAGAGGCAGGATCAGTTCCTTAATTTAGAATGCAGGCCTAGCAGGGTGGCTCACACCTGTAATCCCAGCACTTTGGGAGACTGAGGCAGGTAGATGACCTGAGGTCAGGAGTTTGAGAGCAGCCTAGCCAACAGGTGAAACACCATCTCTACTAAAAATACAAAAAAAGTAGCCAGGCGTGATGGCGGGCGCCTGTAATCCCAGCTACTCCAGAGGCTGAGGCAGGAGAATCGCTTGAACCCGGGAGGTGGAGGTTGCAGAGCCGAGATTGTGCCACTGCACTCCAGACTAAGTGACAAGCGCAAGACCCCCTGTCTCATAAATATATAAATAAATAAAATAAAACAAAATTCAGTACTGCAAATATATGACATATATAACCAGAGGCAGCATATTGTAGTAGCTAAGAGAACAGGACTCTGGAGTCAAAATTCTACACTTGAATTCTGTCTCTACCTTGGGCAAATGCCTTGACTTCTCTGTGCCTCAGCTTTCTTATCTGTAACGGAATGATGAAAATAGTACTTACCTGCTCAGGTGGATGAGAGGATTAAGTGAAAAAATAGTCACAAAAGACTTAGCATAATGCTTGGCTTACAGTAATCATTCGAATTATTATTAATAGTATAGCCACTGCTATTAGTATTACTCACTGAAAAGGAAAAAAGAAGACTAAAATGTGAAGGGTCCTCTTTCCCCAGTCCAATCCCCAGGGGCATTCTCTGAGTTCAGTCCTATCCCCAAGATGCAAACAGTTTAAACATTTCCCCCTCACTTTACATTGCGGGCATTCCTCCCAATGACAATAGCTAATCTTTAAAAATATACAACTTTTAATGATAGCATCAAATAAATGTAGTACTATACTTTGTTTTCTTATTCTTCATTGCTCATATTGTTTCTAGTTTTTAATTCTTATAAATGATGCTGCTGATATATAAGACTTTGTGTATATTTCTGATTAATTCCTTAGGATAGGCTCCTAGGAGTAGAATTAGTACTAATTAGTAGAATTAGGCACAAACCATCACACCCAGCTAATTTTATTTTTATTTTGCTTAGGCTGGTCTCAAACTCCTGACCTCAAGCAAACCTTCCACCTCAGCCTCCAGAGATTAAAGGTGTGAGTCACTGCATCTAGTCTTACCCCTTCATTCATTCATTCATTCATCTATTTATTTTCTCTTCTTTCTCTTTTTTAAAATTTTATTTTTCTTTCTTTCTTTCTCTTTCTTTCTTTCTTTTCCTTTCTTTCTTTTTTTGAGGTGGAGTCTTGCCCTGTTGCCCAGTGCAATGGTGTGATCTCAGCTCACAGCAACCTCTGCCTCCTGGGCTCAAGCGATTCTCCCCCCTCGGCCTCCTGAGTAACTGGGATTACAGGCACATGCTGCCACACCCAGTTAATTTTTTGTATCTTTTAGTAGAGATGGGGTTTCACCATGTTGGCCAGGCTGATCTCGAACTCCTCAACTTGTGATCCACCAGCCTTGGCCTCCCAAAGTGCTGGAATTACAGGCATGAGCCACGGTGCTGAACCTTTTTTTTTTTCTTTTCTGAGAGAGTTTCACTCTTGTTGCCCAGGCTGGAGTGCAATGGTACAATCTCGCTCACTGCAACCTCTGCCTCCCACTCTCTTGCCTCAGCCTCCTAAATATCTGAGATTACAGGCATGTGCCACCACGCCCAGTTAATTTTTGTATTTTTAGTAGAGACAGGGTTTTGCCATGTTGGCCAGGCTGTCTGGAAGTCCTGAACTTAGGTGATCCACCCACCTCCACTCACCCAACAAAGTGCTGGGATTATAGGCATCAGCCACGACTCCTGGCCTGCTTTATCCATTCTTTAAACCCACCTCAAGGCCCACCCCTGTAAAGCCTTCTGCAACTGTCTCAGGAATGTCATGCTCTGCACTTGCTCAATAATTTATTTCAGCAAACATCTATTGGATATCTTTGGGTGCAAGACTGTAAGCCAGATACTCTGGGAAGAAGACATAACCTGCCTTTGAATAGCTTACTGGTTAGTGGAGAAGAGAAAAACATATTAAATACCAAGTAATTATGTGACACAACCAAATGAAATGAATGCTCCAGGTACTTACCAGGGGAGAGGGGGAGCAAGGGGGTGGGGAAAGGTGGGGAAGAGGAAGGTTATGAGAGCAGGAGAGACGAAAGCTTGAAAGAAGGACTGTGAAGGCTGAATTGAGAGTAAAGAGTGTTGAGCGTGTTTGAAGTTCAGAGTGTGTGCCAGGGATACAGAAAAATATAATGTTGGAAAAGTAATCTGGGGTGATGGGTAGAGGGCCTTAAATGGTAGTTTGGACTTTACCCTGTTTGCAGTAGAATGTCATTGAAAGCTTGCTTTCCTCTTTTTAAAAATAGCTTTATTTTCTGATGATAAAAGTAATACTTTTTTTCAATTCTCAATAGTTTTTAAAATATAAAAAGAACATGTCACATGTCAGAGAGCCACTCGATATTTTTTGGCTTATGCTGTAAGGAGTTTTTCTCAGTATATTCATAGATATATACACAGCCATCTATACCATTTGGTACATATGGGATTAGACTGTGTGTTGCTAATAACCCATACTACTGTAGTCAAGGCTGATGTGGTGAATGGGTGGAAGAGGGGACCCTGGGACCTGTGGAAGATGGTAGGGCTTATCAAGCTTGGACAGTGGATGGGTACCAAAGATATTTCAAAATCAGAGCTTGCATTATATTGCCTTGTTTTCACTTTTAAAGTTATATTCCCTTGGTTGTAATTTTCATTTCAATAGCTACTTTTTATATTTTATTTTCCTAGCCTTTTCTGGACCAGTTGTGTTTCTTGAAAAGTCATTTCCATGATCTCATAGGTAGTGAAGCCTCCACTTGGACTTTTGTTATCATCTCCTGTCTCCAAGAAGAGAGAGGAGGAAGAGCATTCCTTTGTTAAAGATCATTATTGCTTTATGTGGGGGTGAACTAATTTTGACTATAACCGTCCAATGGATTCATCTTGCTGATTTATCAAGACAGGGGAATTGCAGTGGAGAAAGAATAATTCACGTAGAGCTGGCTGTGCAGAAGACCAGAGTTTTATTATTACTCAAATCAGTCTCCCTGAGAAGTTAGGGATTAGAAGTTTTAAGGATAATTTGGTGGGTAGACAGCCAGTGAATTGGAAGTTCTGATTGGTCAGATTGGAGATGAAGTCATAGGGAGTTGAAGCTGTCCTCTTGCACTGAGTCAGTTCCTGGGTGGGGGCTATAAGACCGGATGAGCCAGTTTACCAGTCTGGGTAGTGCCAGCTGATCTATTGAGTGCAGGGTCTGCAAAATCTCTCAAGCACTGATCTTAGGCTTTACAATAGTGATGTTATACCCAGGAGCAATTGGGGGAAGTTTAGAATCTTGTAGTCTCCAGCTGCATGACTCCTAAACCATAATTTCTAATCTTTCTGCTAATTTGTTAGTTCTACAAAGGCAGTCTAGTTTATTTTGGGAAAGGGCTGTTATCATTTTTGTTTCAAACTGTAAACTATAAACTAAGTTGCTCCCAAAGTTAGTTTGGCCTATGCTCAGGAATGAACAAGGGCAACTTGGAGGTTAGAAGGAAGATGGAGTTGGTAAGGTCAGGTCTCTTTCACTGTCTCAGTTATAATTTTGCAATGGTGATTTCATGATCACTAAGAATAGACAAGGATTAAATACTGATTGAACAGGAATTGCTAGTACGAGCAGTTTATTGACAGTGCTTAACAGACTTTAGGCTCTGAGCTACATAAAGAAACTTGGCCAAGGTCACAGTTAATAACTGGCTGAGCTCAAACTAGAACCCCAGGCTACCTGCCTGTGCTCATTTACCATGCAAAGTTAGATTGCTGATTATTTAAAATTGATGTTCTGAATGTTTAATAAATAAAGTTGGGAAAAACTCTTCACAAATACCTCACTTAAACTTTTATTTATGCTTGTGCATCTGAACATTCTCTGCTTTAATATTTTAAGTGATAAGTTTGTAGGTTGAGCATACATTACAGTAAGGATGCCAATGACATCCAGTTCCCC